CGCCCGCCGTCGTCCAGGTCGGCTTCGTAGCTGCGGACGAAGCTGGCGGCTTCGTCGCTGGGCCGGCCTCCTGTCTCGAAGACGAGGGGGGCCAGCTCGCCCCCAGGTGGGGGGCGCCGCTCCCGTTTCTGTTCCACTATCTGGGCTGCAGCGAAGCTGTCTCCGTCTGCTCAGGCACCCCTGCGTGAAGCGCAAGTTGAATGTACGCAGGCGATTGCCCAGTCGACGTAGACGTGAAGTCCGTTGGCCGGGTCGTTGGCGGAGAGGTCTAGGACGGCTTGCTGCAGCTTCCCAACGCGGTGGTGGCGGCGATCCCAGGCAGGGGCGGCCTGCTCCGCGGGCGCCGCGAAGCCTGCGAGCTCCTTGTGCTTCGCGGAATGCCAGTCGCGGGACTTGTCGTGGCGCTGGCTGCGCGACGCGCCCACGTCGCACTCGACTGCGTGCCAGCCGCGCGTGCCGAGGGCGGGGCCTCTTTTCAGAGACTTCAATATCTTCGCGGCGGTGCTGGCAGCGGGAGCCAGGCTGGCAGGCCAAGACGCAGAGCCGCCGCTTACATTGCCGCAGAAGTGCGCGTCTGGCTGGCGGGGGTCGCCCGGCTGGCGCGGGAGGAGCCAGCTGCCTGCTCCGGTGCCTCCGTTCTCTCGCAAGCGGAGGCAGCGATCCTCGTCGAACGCCTGTTGGTCGCGGAAACAGCTTTGGCCCAGTGCCCCTGCAGCTTCCATTGCGTCCGATCTAATCCAAAGGCGCCTACAGAACGCCGGCGGCTCGGAGCGTCGCCGCCGTCTGGTCGAGCGCCCGTCGCGTCCGCGGGCAGCGCGCCCGGAACTCTTCCAGCGAGTTGGCCCCGAGGCACCTCGTGACGTCGCGGAGCAGGAGTGCCCAGCTGGCGGCGCGCGGTGCGGCGCCGCCATGGCAGCCGAAGGGAAAGCGCAACCGCCGTCGGCGAGGCGCAGCGGGGCTTGGAGACGTTGCGGGGCGCCCAGGGGCCCGCCGGATAGCTGCTCGAGGCAGCCGAAGACAACTCAGTCTAGCTGCTCCGCCCTGCCCCCTCTGCAGGTCGGCGCGGAGGCGGCGCGCGCCGCGTCCGCGAGCGAACGTGCGCGAGAGAGCGAACGCGCTCTCAGCTCGGAGGCCCGCCTGCCGCAGCTCTTGCAGGCGGGCGGCAATCGACGCTGACTTGGCCACGGCCGTGGCCCCGTCTAGGCCGGCGTGGGCGGTCACCCTTTCCCCCCCCTCACCCCCCCTCTCCTTCCCAGATCGAGCCACGGGGCAGTGTTTCCCAAGCGCGCGAGGTGGTCCACACGGCACTCCTGGACGTTGGCTGGCAAGTGGCCGCGCCCTCCAGCGAACCAAGCTTGGTTGGTTCTTGGTCTGGTTGACTGCAAGGCCGTGCCACGTAAGGATGTCAGTCGCAAACGGCCTGGCTGCGTCTGCGTGCTCTGGCGGGGCGAAGCTTACGATTTCGTCGAGGTAGCTGAACGCCCGGCAAGAGGGCGAGAGCGCCTGGAGACGCGAGTAGATATCGTCGAGCGCGTCTGTAATGCCAATAGCGAAGAGCGCTGGGGAGAGCGGGCACCCCTGGCCCGCGCCCGCGCTGGCCCGAACGCGATGGGCGCCGTCGGCAGGCCGTTCCACCAGTAGTGCTGGGTGGTTCTCGCGAGCCAGCGATGGGCGCACTGGAACAGCTAGGGCGCTCTCCACCGCGCGCCGTCGATCAACGTGCCACGAGGGGTGCTGTTAAAGGCGTTGGATCAGTCAAATACCAGCGCGGCGCCGAGGAGGCGCGCCTCCAAGGGGACAACGAGGCATGCGCGCACGAGCTCTCACCCCGCCCGTCGTCCGACGGCGCACTGGTGAAGGCCGACTGTTCCCTGTGCGTCGTCTTCGAAGTCATCGCAGGCGGCCCGCGCGGCAAGTCGGCGGGGCACGGAGCCGCAGGCCATCGGCCGGAGCGTGCTGTTGCGCTTGCGCTGGGCCACCAGTCGGGCGCCCAGGTTGGCGCGCGTCGCCTCCGTGCTGAGCTCGCCGAGCAGGAAGGCGACCGCGACCCCGGCGGCCGTCTCGAGGGCGGGGGTCTTGGCGCAGCCGTTCGGCCCTGGGCCAGAACGTCGTGGGCTCTTCGCCAAGCCCTTGGCCGCGGCCACGGCTGCGCGAACGTCGTTTGGCGCGGCCGGCGCTTGGAGGAGGCGTTGCTCTGGCCCCTCTGGGAAGAAGCTCTGGAAGCCGACGTGGGCGCCGGGCCCGGAGGCCAGCGCGCTGGGGCGGAGGGCTCGCTGCATCGCCTTACTGATGAGGTACTCATCCAGTAGGGACTCGACCGCCCGCGCGTCCTGCGTGGCCGTTGGGGCGCTGCCTCCTCCTCCTCCGCCTCTCCTCGGCCCGCGGTTCGCGATCGTTGCGGGCCCGGCCATCCGCAAGCGTCGCGTAAGGATCTTGGCCGAGCCACCTGAATGGTGCGCCCGGTGACCCCCGCGACCTTTCCCGGGCTTGAACAGCACGACTATGTCAAAAAAACGAAAGCCTTCTCCGCCCTGGCCTGGGCAGCAGCGTCGCCTGCAGTCCGCGCGTGCAGGAGGCGTTCGGCCAAGCGCACGCGGAACTGTGCCAGGACCGCGCTCATGTTCGCCGGCACTTAGAAGGTCGTGGGAACGTATTGCTCCAGAGCGTCGTAGTCAACTGTGTCCCACCATTCCAAGTTGGTGGGCTGGGCTGGCACGCTGCTGGAGGGAAACCCTGGGGCGGGGCCATGCGCCCCATCATCCTTCTCGAGCAGGGGCGCGCCCAGCGTTGCACCCTGGCGGGCGGTGTCGGGGTCGGTCTTCTCGCGCTTGGCTCTGTCATGGTCCGCGATGTACTCTACCCAGGTAGGCAAGCCAGGGCGGTCGCAGTACTTGGCACTTGCCTGAGCAGTCAGGCTCGCAGCCTGAGGGCTCAATCCGACAGTACCCCTAGCTCTCGCCCTGCTTCGGGGTGACGAAGCCACGCCCCCTCCTACCCGTCATACTCCCAGAACATGACGCTGGTGATGCTGCGGCTGCTGCCGTGGGGACCGTCGCTGCTGCCCTTCCTCGCCCACGTCCTTCGCCTCTTCCCCTGGCCGTCCCTGTCGTCCGCCTTTACCTCCTCCACCTTTAGTTCCTCCTCGCCTTTTGCCTCCGCCGCCCGCTGCATGTCCTTCACCAAACTGCACGTTCACGACAGTGTCCCCCTTCACTCCCCCGTCTCCTTCTGCATTCCTCCCTCTGCCTCCTCCTCCTCCTCCTTTACCTCTGCCTCTGGCCGCAGGTTTTCCTTCGTCTCTTTCTGCATTCCTCCCTCTACCTCCTCCTTCTCCTCTGGCACCTCATCCTCTACCTCTGCCTCCAGCTGCAGGTCTTCCAGGAGGCGCTGCTGCCAGTGCACTAGCCGTTCCTCCTCTTCCTCCTCCTCGTCCTCCTCCTCCTCCGCCTCGTCCGCCCTGGGTTTCAGCAGATCCCGTTTTGGGTACTGCAAATCGTGTCCCGCTGCTGCTGCTCTGCACCTGTACGCATACCGTACGCGGTAGATTGTTAACTGTGTCCTTCCACCTCCATTGCTTCCCACAAGTCGTACAATGGATGATGCCCTCGCGAGGGGATCCAACCACTTTCCCCAATTTGCGGTTCCACGTTAAGATACGGCCTCTTTGTTGCATTTGGTATTCAATCCCGCGCTCTGCGTCGTCCAAACGAGCCTCTGCTGTGTTCGCCCCCTCCTTGTCCATCCACCTGTCCGGGTGCAGCTCTGCAAGTGGGCACGGCCTGTTGGTGATCTTACAACGCACATGTTGAACTTTCGTAACATACCGCCCACATGTTCGGCACCATAGGCCCTCAGCTCCCACCCGTGGCTCCAGATGGTGTCCGTTCTCTTGGATCTGTACACGATCGCACTTCGCCTCAGCTGCCGTCGCCGTCGCAACCACATCCCCGGCACCGTACCACACTCGTATTTGATCCCGCCACACACAAATCATGAAATGTTGAGCCAGGGTGGCCGCAGCAGCCGCGGACGGCATTCTGCGGCTCTTGCGAGAGTACCGCCGTTCCCTGCACCCTGTCGTAGGGCCCCCAGCCGCCCTCCACGCAGGCAAGGTGGCAGTAAAGCGGGCTGGCCAGCTCAGAATTGCACGCCCGAAGGTCCCCCTTAGCGAGGGCTTGGCGGCACGCTGGGGCGCGACAGAGGGCGACGCGCCTGCTCGGCACAGCACTGACAGCCCAGGCGGATGCCTGCAAGTCCCGCCCCCTCGGCGGCCTGGGCTCTGCGTGCGGCTGCGGCGGCGGCGGCGGAGGCTCGGCTGGGAAGGCAGGCCAATGGGAGGCCAGGACGGGGAAGCAGGCTGGAGGTTCCAGGGCGGGGCAGTCTGTAACGGCGACTGCAGCGCTGAGGAGGCGGCAGAGCCACGGCGTGTGGGAGCCCCTCAAGATGGCAGTACGGCTCCCAAGCCCGCAGAGCATCCGAGCGCCGCCCGACCGCAGGGCGCTGAGGGCCACAACGGGCACCGGGAAGCCCGAAGTGACGGCTACCAGGGACGCTGTGGGCGTCCTCCCCGCCGTGGCTGCATGCCCCGCTGTGGTGAGCACCGCCGTGGCGAGGGTGCCAAGGCGGAGCAGCTGGAAGAGGCCCCAGAGCATGGCGGCCGACGTGAAGCGTGTGGCCACGTGCGACCCGCAGCCCCGGCGGCCCCGCGTTCCCGCTGCTTGTGCTGGCTGCGCCGCTGGCGGAGGCAGCGCGAGAGCGGAGGTGACGCAGGCAGGAAGTACAACCTCCCTCCTGGCTACTCCCTCCCTCCCTTCTCTCTCCCTCCTTCCTCCTCCCTCCTCCCTCCTTCCTGGCCACCTCCCTCCTCCCTCCCTCCTGGCCTCCTCCCTCCTCCCTCGTCCTCCTTCCTCCCTCCCTCCCTCCCTCCTGGCTCCTCCCTCCCTCCCCCTCCTCCTCCTCCACCCCCTGGCTCATCCTTCCTTCCTCGTTCGCCTCCTCAT